GTGATGGTTCTTCATTAATTTCCTAGTAATGATAAAAATTATTAATAAAAAAAATCAAATTAAAATAATTATAATGATAATTAATTACCTGCATTAACTTTAAAATTTGTTGTCGTTTATGAGATTTTGAAAAATAACCATACAAATTTTTCAAAATTTTCTCATACTTTTCAAAATATATGACATCTTCTGAAGCATCTTTCCCAGCTAGATGAAGTCTATGTGATATACAATGATTTGAAGACATGAATGGATTGATTCCTTTGAATCTTGCTGCAACACCACTTATGTGACCTAAAGGTTAAAACATCTATTAGCTAAAATAAAACATTAGTCCATTGACATTAATTAAGTATTAATTTCATACCAGTCATATTTGAAGCTCCATTACTTCCAAAATGAATTATTTGATGATAGGATATCTGATTTGAAATACAAAATGATATGATTTGGTTATAAATATTTTCTCCAACAGTTGAGTCTAGATTAATCAAGCCCAAATACCTCATAATTGGCATATATTAGCAATACATTTTCCCACAATTGCTAAATATTTATCATCACCAACACTATTAGCTTCATCAATCATTACACTCCAATAAGGTGAAGAATTCAACTCATCAAAAAGTGAATTTTTTATTACAGAGGCTATACTATCTAAAAAATCAAATCCAGCTATAGAATTTTTATAACTTCAATATTTTGATTTAGATTTTGATGGTTTTTCTAATGAAGCAGGTTTTAAAGTAGAAATTTTATTGCTAATGTTGTTTTCAGTTTGTAAAGACATTAAATTACACAAATCAGGGTAAATTTTTTTTAATGAAATATTATGTTTTGAACAAAAATAAATATTTCTCATTAATGAAATAATTGACAATTTTTCTCCATTTGATTGTTCTGTATCTGAAACAAGTAATATTGATTCTGATTTTTTATGCTCATTGGTGTTTGAATGTGCTTTGATTTTATCTAACCTAAAAAATTTTGTACCTTTTGAAAAATTTGACATTCCATTTCTATTTCTACAAAGTTTACAAAAAATTAATGTTTCTTGATTAATTTCTTCAGATTCCAACCATGTATATCTATTGAACCAATCTTTATTGATATTTTTTCTATAATGTGAACTTTCTTTTGTTTGTTGTAGTTCTCCAATTTCACCACTATTATTTAATTCATCATCTGATGATTCAATAAGTTCTATTGTTTGAATTGAAATATTAAATTCTTTTTCAGGCATTTTATTTTTTTTAGAATTGGAATTTTCTTTTTCAGACCAAGATCTTTTTGGGTTATATTGATTTGACATTTTTGAATGAATTAATTATTAAAAAATTTTTAATTTTTTTTTTTAATTTTTTTGAAATTGATAAAAATTGAGGCAAAAATTACAATGATTTATAATTATTCAAATTATGCAAAGCAAAATTAAGAATGAATCAAGACAATATTAAAATTACAAAATGAAGATAGTATATATAGTTAAAAAAACATGGTTAGTTAAGTTTCAAAATATCCAATTCCAAACAATATTAAGTTATATTTTCTTGGATAATATTAAGAGTTATTTGACAAAATGTAAATAGTAATAAAATAATGTTAAGGGGAGAAATTGTTTCAAAGCTAAGGTAGGGATTTTGTTTCAGCTGTGATTTGATATTTTTAATTTTTAATTACATTGATAGATTTTGAATATTAAATCTGGTGTCCATTTTTCCAGTGATTAATTTAATATTTTTTGGTAGGCTTGTGAAAATACACATAATACATAGTTTTGGAAGTTGTATAACCATTCAACAAAGCTCATGCCAAGTTTTCCTTCATATAAAAAAAAATAAAAAATCATTTTTTTCAATGAAAGATCTGCATGATTTTAGCCAATAATATTTGTCTTGATTTTAAATAGGCTAAGTTCCAAGGTTTTTAATGAAATCTTATTTTTAAAAGAAATTTGTTTATGACAATTAAATAATATATAATATATGTAAACTGTTACAACACCCAAAACTAATAAAATAATCATAGGAAAATAAAATGGTTTAAATGAAACCAGTTTAACAAATAAAAATTTTTTTTACTGGTTGACTGAAACTTTTACAATTAAATCTCTGTAATTGGCCTGAACTATAAAATAGACAAAATATATCATGTTGATATCTAAATAAATAAAATGATGGATCATGTCACTAAAATAAAAATAATGTTTTCTCACAATAAAAACTGATGTAAAATTCCAATAATCAAATGAGTAAAATTTATTTGTAGATCTAAATATCCAAATCCATTTGGTTAGAATCTATAAATATGATAATTTATAGCATAATAAAAATAATGATCACCATTATTATTACTATAAATATATGTAATAAGTGTTTTTAAATTTTAAAATCAATAATCAAAATAATTACCATTAATATTATCTAAATCAATTTGATGTTCTGTAAATGTGATAATTTATAACATAATAAAAATAATATTAATGCTAATATTAAATGAATTTTAAAATTAAATAATTGATGATAATTACCAATATTGTTACTGAAAATTGTAACTTTATTGGAGTTTACAGGTTGTGGAAGATTTGTAAAATTCAATAATCTACTTGTGTAAATGGCATTTGGATGAACAGTTGCAGTAATTGTTGAAGGGTTAAATGGTTTTTGATCTGCTTCCTCAAATATTTTTCTTATGTTTTTTAATTTATTTTTTTTAAAATAATAATTAGAATTGTTGCATTCAACTGCATCTTTCCAAAAAGTAATAATTTTTAAAATTTCATTTGCTGTTGGTCTTTTTTTAGGGTCAGCATCTGTGCATTTGTATGCTAACCTAATATAACATACTGGAGTATTGTCTGAAAAACTAGGTCTCAAGCCACCACAGATCTTGATAGCAAGATCTTGATCATGTGGTTGATCTTTGAATGGTTGATGACATGTTGATAATTCAGACATTAAAATCCCAAAGCTATAGATGTCAGATTTTTGGGTGTAAGGTTTCTTATTTAATACCTCTGGTGCAATATATGGCAGTACTCCAAATATGCCATTTTTGCTTGATGTTCCTTGATCAGCTGGGCTTGATAACCCTAAATCTGTAATCATTGCCTGGGATAAATAATCAAAATATAAAATATTACCACTGTGAAGATCACCATGTGTAAGTTTTTCTTGATGAAATGTGTTTAAACTTGAGATGATGTTATAAAGTCTTTTGATTTTATCATTCCATCCTGTAATAGATGATTTTAAATATTTTCTAAAATCTCCTTCATCTGCATATCTCATTATGAGAGCATATTCTTTTGTATTTGGATCTTGTGAAATGCCATAAATATTAACAATACCCTTGTGATAAGGTCCTATAAACTTAATGTGATTTTGAAGCTTTATGAAAATTAATAAAATTTAATTTATGATTTAAAATCATTAATTGTTAATTAATTATATCAAATTATTTACCTCTTTCAAAAACTCTTCAGAAATGTTTTGTGAGTTTTTAACCTTTTTTAATGCTACATGACCACCTTCACAATAATATCTTTTATTTTCATAAACATATCTAGGACCATTTAACCAGTAACACTTATACACAGTTGCAAAACCACCTTCACCTATTCCTTCTTCAACTATGAGTTTGTTATAAGGAATCCATTCAAGATAATGATAACTATCAAATCCTTTGGCTTCAAGCTGTGTATTTCTAATTATTTCATCCAATTTTTCATTACCACTGCTAGTCCAACTTCGAGCTAACAATTTGGGATCACATGATTGACACCACTGGTAATTAGTATTATATCTTGCACAAACAGAACAGATTCCATATTTTTTCTTTCTTTCTTTAAAACCCTTAGTATTATCTTATAAAATAGAATTATTTTTCAGCATAATAAAAAATAGACATTCATTCCAAGTGAAAATTGTAAAAAAGATAAAATTATAAATTATTTGATTAGACAAGGTTTTGATAATTTATTTTGTGTTGTAAAAGTTATTTTATAATATAACATAATATTTACCAGCTAGTTATTATGAAGAAATAAAATTTATTTAATAGTTGATGTTATAAATTTTATTTTATATTATAGAAGTTACTTACATGCTGGAAAATAAGTTTATTAATTAGTTGATGTTTTAATAAAATTTATTTTGTGTTGTAAAAGTTAATTTCATAATATGATACTTACTCCCTGGTTATTATAAAGATTTATTAATTATATGATGTTTTAATAAAATTTATTTTGTGTAATTTATAATATACTAACCAGCTGGTTATTATAAATAAAGAAAAATTAACTTATTGATTAAATATAAAAATTATAAAAATTATAAAAGTTGATTTATAATACTTACTAGCTGGTTATTATAAAGAAATAAAAAATAAAATTATTTAATGATAAAGTTTATTTTGTGTTGTAAAAGTTAATTTATAATATAATACTTACTAACTGGTTATTATAAAGAAATAAAAAATAAAATTATTTAATTAGATGATCTTTTGATAAAGTTTATTTTGTTTTGTAAAGTTAATTTATAATATAATACTTACAATCTATAAATAAAAAATAAAATTATTAATTAGATGATGTTGAAGATAAAGTTTATTTTGTGTTGTAAAAGTTAATTTATAATATGGGGCATACTGTAACAATACCAGACAAAGTGAATTGTAAAGGGTGTTACACTTATGTTTTTAATAGTGAGTGTCATAATTAATTTTGACAATTGACCATCAAAATCACCAATCCAATTTGGGCTGCATGTATGAACATGGTGGACATATTCCAATGCTCAACAGTTTGTCATTTGGACATGGTCATTAGATGTGTATTGGACAATGACCAACATGTTATTCAGGATGTCCATTATAGATATTGGTTGCAATTTTTGATGGTGGTTGCAACTGATTGCAACCATCTTTGCAACCACTTTGCCTTCCTTTTTTGGATTGCAATATAGAACATCAATGTCCATGAGGTACATTGGACTACCACATCAAAATTCTTTATCTTTTTCTTTTTCCTCTTCACCCCAACCGAGAAAAAGACTAATAAAGGTTATCAGAGGTTGAAAAGGCAATACTAGTCCAAAGATAAGAATTAACCAAAAGGTCACTTTACTTTTTCTACCTGATAAACGAACTAATTGAAATATTCAAGTAATAAAGGAATGTCCAACATTGTCAATGCATCCCTGCTGTAATAACAATAATAATAATTGGATTTTAGGGGTCACACCCACTTTTTTTATAAATCATGTGATGCATAGTAATTCATCAAGAAAATTGTATTGCTAAATTTAGAGGGTAATGATTGAAAAGGACTGACAAAACTATAGAAATTTGCTGAATTGGGTTCTGGGAAAAAAGAATCAACCATCTCAAATAATTTCATTTACCAAGTCAGACACAATAATACTCTAAAATTAGAGCAAATAAGTTTTCAATATTATTAATTAATTATAAATTAAAAAAACTATATACAATCAACATTGACGAAGTTTTTTGTTTGTGTTTGTACTACTACTACCATTGACATAAAGACTAGTGCCGTAAATTATGATGATGGTAGTAATTGTATTCACGGCATATAAAAAGTGGTTGCAATTACCTTTGCAACCACTTTTGCAACCATACTTTTTCCTTTTTTGGATTACGGCACTAGTCTTTACATTGACAATGTTAGAATTTCTATGTTTAACATCTTGCCTTTTCTCACCAACTAACAACAGATAATGTTATTATTATTATTATTTTAAATAACAAATTAAGTATATATAGGATATATAACAAACCATTAAGAGCACCTTCTTCAAGTTCATCCAAATCTAATGCAGATTCATCACTTGCTTCTCCTGGATCTGCTGATTTGCTATTAACAGCAGCTTCTTCCTCTTCTTCTTCATAACCAACACTACTCTACAAAATTATTATATTTTTTAATTTATAATTCCATAAAAACATTATCTATAATGACAATAATGGGACTTACTTCAATATCCACTTCACTCTCAGTTGGTTCATTCACTATCTGAATCTATTTTTGCTTCTGAATCATCATCATTTTCATATATATCTAAAAATGACCAACCGCAATCTTTATGAAATCCTTCTACATCTTGATTAATACTTCTCAGTATTTGTGCCCAATTCAAATTTGGTGTTATTTCATAATATACAATTTTTATTGAATCTAGCCATTCTTTTACAACTTTTAATTGATATATTGGAATAGTATTGATATGTGTTGGTGGTTGTAAATAATCTTAAAAACTAATACCATATCAAAATTATCTAAACAATATTGTATTCTTTCTAAATTTAATTTCTATATCAGCCATTGTTATAACTAAGAAGGGTGAACTAACTAAATGAACAAGACAGTTAGTGGTTGGTTGTAATAATATTCTCCTTCTAAATTGAGTACCCAAGAATCTAACATTTCTGAAAACATCAGCAGTAATGCAACTCTAAAAATAGATAAAGTAAAAACAAAAATGAATAATTTATATATTTCATTTAGTCTTTGTAAATAACACTTAC